ATAGTGTCAAGATTGGGTTACGTTTTCAACAAAAAAATCATACAGTGAAATCTATGAAGAAATATTCTAGAAATAAAAATCATGCATGTTAATTGAATCAATATTATACCTTTTTCGAGGCAAAACAAATGGTCATAGATCGGAGCCCCCCTTTGTACAGACTTTAAAGATCAAAATTGAAACTTTTCGGATCTTGAGGCAGAGGTGTAGAAGTCTGGATCTTTCATCGGAGACCACCTCGCCATTTACCAAAAAAAATTGATTTACAATCGGAAATGAGGAGCGAAGAAGAGATAGAAGCAGAGGTCGTGTGAGACACGTGGGCGGCGGAAATGTAGGGTAGGGAGAAGAGAATATTAAGAGGCCAAATATATGGGCCTGGACATGTTTAAAAATTCGAATTGGGCTTGGTCCTGATTTTTTTTCTTTTAGATAATCTATTATGTAAGGTAGGGGTGGACACGGTACGGTTTCGGGACGGTTCCGGTACCGGTACAGGTACCGGTACCGGGGTCCGGTACCGGTACCGGTTCCGGTTCCGTCGGTTCCGGTACCGTTTCGGCCACCCCTAATTTTGTTTTTTTTTTTGCTTTTTTATTATATTTTTAAAATGTAAAATTGTAAATGTGTAATTGTTAAAGGAAATGATGAAATAAAAAAATCTAAAAATGAAATTGATAAAGGAAAGAATGAAAACAAAAAAATAAAAATAAAAAAAAACGGTAACGGTACCGGAACTAGAACCGGAACCGCCGGTGCCGGTACCGAAAAATGGGCACCGGAACCGGTACCGGATTGGGCGGTACCGGTACCGGTTCTCGGAACCGGTGGACCGTACGGGCCGACGGTAACGGTACCGGAACCGGCGGTACCGTTTCCGGTACCGTGTCCACCCCTAATGTAAGGTTTAGGTTCAATAACCCAATATTTATCAATACACATTTCAAATGCTTCAATATTTCTGCTTATAATTTAATATACCTTTTAAAATATTTTAAAATTTTAAAAAATTTATATTACTGATATTTAGTATTTCTTCTTTTTGTCTATAAAAAGATTAAGATTTTTCTGTAAATAATAATATTTACCGTCAATATGAAGATAATAATAT